AACTAGAAGGAAAATATGATAACATTACGGGGGCATTTACATAATAATCTGATAATGATGACTATAATAACGTCGCACTGAATATACAAAATTATCGCTCATGCAGCGTTATCTGCCTACCGCTGCGTCTCGCTGCTTCGTAAGTTCTTTGAAAGCACGTCTCAGGCTTATGACATGACATTCTTCCCCTTGAACCTTGTCACTAGTCAACGGGGTTTTCGATTGTCGCAAATATTCGCTGTGTGAAAAGGGAAAAGCATATGGCCTCTGACAGAGAGTGACTGGAGTAATAACCTGGAAATGCCAGCTTGGCTGCACTTGACAGCAAAGCCGGTCGTGTAGGCCTAACGCAAAGTCGGGGAATATGACGACTCCGCTCGTGATGTGAGCTTTCAAGACGCTCACAAAGAGCAAAAGAATCGCAGTGACATCTTCCAGGATGACGATTTAACTCTCGCTACAAACAGGAAAGAGAGGAAGAAAAGAAAGCTTTGAACTGGAATTATTCCGACTATAAAAAAAAAAATCCTAGAGACTAAAACGGTATTCTAACAGACACTCTAGAATTCCCTAAGTAAACGTGTGTCTGTGTGCGCGCATTCATGTTAATTTTTATATAAATGTATAAAACCAATCTATGACACAAGTAACGTATTTGATTAGAAGTGGTGCAAGCAAGGAGGTATCATTGAAAGACTGGTGAAAACAAAATAGTCTCGCTAAAGTTAGTTATGCCTGTCTGACACACACTATCTTTATAGTTAGTGTTTTCATACAAGATGTTAATTATGCCTATGGCTATATATCGACTAGAAGTAGATGGTAGGCAGGGGAGAACAAGATTTGTTTGGCATATATGAAGTCTTGTGTTAAAAAAAAAAAAAAAAAAAAAAAACTTTCGCAGGATAGGCAAATGGTCCGTGTGAACAACATGTACAGATGTATCAGTACATGTGTGTATATGTTTTTTTTATTTAAAACTGACTTCACACTTACAACACTCAAACTGAGTTTAATTTCCTGAAGAATATATGTGGTGGCGCTAGCGCATGCGGCAAATCAATCATGCTGTACCTCTTTCCACGGCCCGTGCTTGTCAGAAGGTTCCTGTTCCTATTGCCTGTATCCGATTTTCTTCCTGTTTTTGGTTTTCTTAAATTCGCCTGACGTTTCGATGGAACGCGTAATGCTCTACGACACCACGTTCCTTTCATACTAGTTAGCATAACAACATGACGACGTAGATCATTAGAATTTTGAACGTGTCTTTGATGTAAGGTTTCCCCGTGAAGCCGTCTTAACATGTCTCTTTCCCAAGACAGTCACGTGGGACCATTATCACAGTATTGCACGAGAGGCATTCTGCAATGCCTGAGGGAGAGATCGCGGACGTGAGAATGAGAGCGAGCACAACAAGCAGTATGCCTTTGCTTAAAGTAAAATTTATCCATGGTGTTCTATGCGTCGTCACACGGGTCGCGCTGGAGCCTAAGTACAAGAGGCAATGATAAAAGGGAAGGGAAGATAAAAGATAAAAACGTGCTATCGAAAGCATGGAAATAATAACGTCGGGTCGTCCGGTAATCTCTTACACTTTATTTTTGTTCCCTTAGGACTAAAAATTCCTGAGGAGCCTCTCATCCATTTTAAAGTTTTTTTTTTTTTTTTTTTTTCTCGGGCAACGCTTAGAAGTGCTGACAAAAGTTTTACCCTCCCCGTAAAACCAATATGAGGAGGAGGAGGAGGAGGAGGAAGAGATGATGATGATGATGATCATCATCATCATGATCATGAGGAGAAAGAGATGATGATGATCATCATCATGATGATAATGATGATCATGATCATGAGGAGGAGGAGGAGGAAGAGGAGATGATGATGATGATGATGATGATCATGAGAAGGAGGAGGAGGAAGAGGAGATGATGATGATGATGATGATGATCATGAGAAGGAGGAGGAGGAAGAGGAGATGATGATGATGATCATGAGGAGAAAGAGATGATGATGATCATCATCATGATGATAATGATGATGATGATCATGAGGAGGAGGAGGAGGAAGAGGAGATGATGATGATGATCATGAGGAGAAAGAGATGATGATGATCATCATCATGATGATAATGATGATGATGATCATGAGGAGGAGGAGGAGGAAGAGGAGATGATGATGATGATCATGAGGAGAAAGAGATGATGATGATCATCATCATGATGATAATGATGATGATGATCATGAGGAGGAGGAGGAGGAAGAGGAGATGATGATGATGATCATGAGGAGAAAGAGATGATGATGATCATCATCATGATGATAATGATGATCATGATCATGAGAAGGAGGAGGAGGAAGAGGAGATGATGATGATGATGATGATGATGATGAGGGGGGGGGGGGAAGGAGGAGGAGGAGGAAGAGATGATGATGGTGATGATGATGAGGAGGAGGAGGAAGAGATGATGGTGATGATAAAGAGGAGGAGGAGGAAGAAGAGATGAGGAGGAGGAAAAAATGATGATGATGAGGAGGAGGAGGAGTAGGAGGAAGAGATGAGGAGGAGGAGAAGGAAGAAGCGATGATGATTATGATGAAGAGGAGAAGGAAGAAGAGATGATGATGATGAGAAGGAGGAGGAAGAAGAGATGATGATGAGAAGGAGGAGGAGGAGGAGATGATGATGATGATGATGATGATGATGATGATGATGATGATGATGATGATGATGATGATGATGATGATGATGATGATGATGATGATGATGATGATGATGATGATATTAACTATGATGATAATGATAATGATTGTGATGATAATAATAATGATAATGATAATAATAATAAGGATAATGACAATAATAATAAGGATAATGACAATAATAATGATGACTATAATGACAACAATGATAATGATATAGATAATCATCATCACCGCTATCATCATTACTCCATTCCCATATTCTTACACCTTCCTATATCCTTCTGGTACTAAAAAAGTCTAATGTCTCCCCTACAAAGTTTACGTTTTCTATGTGCAAAATAAAACGTTTTCGTTTTCTCTGAACACTGTGACTTTTAAATACATTATCAATGATATGTCCGTAGTTTGCTTTATCGCCATCTTTGTATTCCTTTTCTCCATGATTCCCCTTCATTATTTAGAAGAAGTAATTAGTGAAATGGATATTTTTAAAGATGTAGTCATGAAATAATATACAAAGTTCTATGCAAACTGCTTGACACCTATAGGATTTCTTTAACAAAAACATAAATAATATCATCTTAGTATTAAAATCAAGAAATGGAAAGTGGTTCATGAGCTACTTGACCCTAGGAAATATATTAAATGAGAGTCATGACTTTGTAAACTAGCTTTTCGTTTCGTTTTGTTTAGGTCATCTGGGTTTTTAAGGATTTTCTGAGGAGCAACAATGATCATCAATTGGACTTCACCATGGCTACTATTATTGTTGTTATACTGGTTATACAAGAACTATTCCTGATTAAGTGAAGAACATTGCATTCTTCCTAACAGCTCTTTCATATTACTAAGAACATAAGAGTGAATTTTTTACTACTCAAGTATTGTTCACATTTGCCTTCCTCTCCACTGTTAGTTGTATTTGGGGGTGGTGATAGGAATTCTTAGAAAATATTACATTTCTTTCTAGTTTAAATATGAAAGCTTTATGAGTCTCTCTCATTTTCCCAGACAATATGCATGATTTTTTTCCCATTCATTGAATTGGCGGGAAAATTAATACCAGTGCTATCAATACTGTTATTATTGTTATTGATGTTATGATTATTAAACTGTCATTAGAATATCTTAGACAATGAAATGATACCAAAAAAAATATATATATTTCCTAAGGTGAAGGAAAAGGCTAAACAGGTGAAATAGGTAGTTCTTGATAACTGGCTATTTGGTGATTAAGAACTTATGGAGCCATCTATGTGAAAATCCAACAAATAAACGTGTATCAAAGTGGATATGGCATCTATTCTTGCCACATGGGGCGAATGGGTTAAGTGGCAGCCAATCATTTGCTCAACAATTTTACCTAATTTTATCCAATTAGTTACTGAACTGCAATCACAAAGAACATACCAAAAATATAGCCCCTGCAAAATGGTAAAGTTACCCATATTGTCTACATTTCCTATTTGCACCTATAGTGATGTTAAAACTACATATTCTATAAAAAAAAATACTGTAGAAACTTGGTTACCTAATCATTCTGGTAGTACATTAAGCATTATTCATAGCTTTATGGTAACCTAATAAAAAATGTGGGTGTAAATAGTCATTCACTTTCATCCACAAAAAAGGAGAGAGAAAGAGAGAAAGAAAGAAGGAAAGAAAGAGAGAAAGAAAAGCAAGAAAGAAAGGAAGAATGAAAGAAAGAAAAAAAGAAAGAAAGAAAAAAGAAAAAGAAAGAAGGAGAGAAAGAAAGGAATGAAGGAAGAAAGAAAAGAAAAGAAAAAAGAAAGGAAGAAATAGAAAGAAAGAACAGGGGGGGGGGAGAGGGAGAGAGAGAGAGAGAGAGAGAGAGAGAGAGAGAGAGAGAGAGAGAGAGAGAGAGAGAGAGAGAGAGAGAGAGAGAGAGAGAGAGAGAGAGAGAGAGAGAGAGAGATTGAAAGAAAGAAAAAGAAAGAAAAAGAAAGAAAGATTGAAAGAAAGAAAAAGAAAAAGATAAAAAGAAAGGAAAAGAAAGAAAGAAAGAAAGAAAGAAAGAAAGAAAGAAAGAAAGAAAGAAAGAAAGAAAGAAAGAAAGAAAGAAAGAAAGAAAGAAAGAAAGAAAGAAAGAAAGAAAGAAAGAAAGAAAAAAAGAAAAGAAAGCAAGAAAAAAAGAAAGATAGAAAGAAAGAAAAAGGAAACAAGGAATGAAAAAGGGAGGGAGAAGATGGATGTGGAGGGTGCAAGAAAGGTCTGATAAAATTATATTGGCAGCATAGCCTTCAAATTCAAGTATGTATAATGAAACACTAAGGTTTTTA